TCATTTGCTGAAAACTGCAAATCAATTGTCAGATATATTTATCGACTCTAGAAGAGCCATTAAATCAACTATTCCTGCAGGAAATACTCTGGTTAAAATTGATGTCCCTGAAGGACATGTACAAGTGCTACAAATAAATTTAAACCCGGCCTATCTAAATAAGGTATAAATTGATTTCAAATAACTCCGGAGATTAAATAAATGTCATGACAAAATTCAACCTCTTGAAGAGGTTGCTCCTGAAGAGCCAACTCCAGAAGAGAATGAAATCATAGAAAATTTAATTGGAGCCTAATGAAATGTAGCACTTGATATTATAGAAGTTGATGAGGATCATGAATCTAAATCGGTTGATGAATGTCGGTATAGAAATGATTGTTCAAAGTGGAAAGATACGATCCAATCTGAATTGGATTTATTGGTTAAAAGAAAAGTTTTTGGACCTGTAGTCCAAACACTTGAAGGTGTAAAACCAATAGAATATAAATGGGTATTTGTGATAAAGAGAAATGAGAAAAAGAAAATTGTGAGGTATAAAGTAAGACTTGTAGTCCAAGAATTTTCACAAAGGCCTGGATTTGATTATGATGAAATGTATTCACCTGTAGTGGATGCTATCACATTTAGATATCTTGTGAGTTTTGCAGTAAATGAAAAATTAGATATGCGTCTAATGGACGTCGTTACTGCATATTTATATGGGAATCTTGAAAATGATATTTATATGAGAATTCCCGAAGTATTCAACATGCCTGAAGCATGCAAATCAAATTCTAAAAATATTTATTCTATTAAATTACAAAGGTCTCTGTATGGGCTCAAACAATCTGGACGTATGTGGTATAATTGCCTCAATGAATGTCTGATTAAAGAAGGTTATACCAATGATCCAATATGTCCATGTGTTTTTATCAAGAAAAATGGATCAAATTTTGTGATAATTGCGGTATATGTCGATGATCTAAATTTGATTGGAACTCCTGAAGAGATTCAAAATAATGTTGAATATTTGAAGAAAGAATTTGAAATCAAGAATTTTGGAAAGACAAAATTTTGCCTTGGTTTACAAATTGAGTATTTGAAAAGTGAAATTTTTGTCCACCAAACTGTTTATACCCGAAAGGTATTAAAGCAGTTTTATATGGATAAGGCACATATATTAAGTACTCCAATGATCGTCAGATCATTAGATCCTAATAAAGATTCTTTTAGACCGCGAGAGGAAGATTGAGAGATACTTGGTCCTGAAGTACCATATCTCAGTGCAATTGGTGAAGCATATTGAAATGCGACGATTAAAAGATCTCAAATGATGTTTGCATCAGGGGGAGAAATTAATACACAAGAATAGTGTACTCTTTTTCCTTCACTAGGATTTTTGTCCCGATGGGTTTTTCCCTAGTAAGGTTTTAACGAGGCATATTCTTTGTGTAATGGACATCCAAGGGGGAGTGTTATGAAACAATTAAAAGTATGGATGTCCCTTTGTATTTCCAAGAGGATTAATTCTTGATTTATGGATACATTATGTATAGAAGTTACAATCCATAAATCTATTCATGTAGTGGAAGAACCGTTTCATAGGTTTTTTCATATTCTTGTAATAGTGGGTGTTTAATAGGATTGATGTTCCTTTAATCTTATAGTACCTATATATAAAGGTACATTGACACCCTTTGGAATGAACTTTTGTATTAGTTGGAATAATAAGAATATCACTCTCCATTGCTCCACTTCTTTCTCTACTTCTTTCTCCAATATTTCACTTGATATTATAGTACCTTATTTTATTAGTTTTATAACATTTCCGATATATATAAGGGGGAGTTTGTGTGTCACTGTTCACAAATTTTCATCTGCCATGTACGGGGCAAGTTAAGTAATTTAAATTATTATTAGTCAATTGGTTAAGCAAATTGTACACGCATATGATGCACGAGTATGTACCAAAAGTCAAAAGACCATCTCATCCTTCCTTTGTACATACAATATGCACGTGTGAGTGACCATCAATTTGTTGGCGAAAAGGCTTCGAGTTGCCTCAAAACGCATTTATTATACACTAGGAGGTTGAAAACCCTGCAATGCGCGATTTTGTACATATTATAATGCCCATGATTATGCAATTATTTAATATTATTTTATTAAATAGTAAGTGAATATTTTCAAAATTAATTAACATGAAGGTTAATATTTTTCTAAAATGCATTGATATTTAATAGAATTTTGTTTAAATATTATAAAAAATTATAATTTATTTGTTGTAATACTGAATGTACTATATTTGTTAATAAGATTTGACCAATTATATCTAAGTTGTGAACAATTCGGATATCAAAGTCACAGACAATTACTTAGCATATGGATGCAAAAAAAAAAAAGATAAAATTTTATGTAATTAAAGTAGGGTATAATGTTGTATTTACTCACTTAATATTCAACAAATATAGACTTTTAGCAATAAATTAATCAATTTTCTTGAGACAACTCCCAACAACTACAATCATTTCTCACATTATAAATAAATAACTTACACTCAATAAACAAATGAATTACACAAAAAATCAATAAAGCAACAACTACTAAAAGTACAAATACCTGTTCATCAACCGGACTTAGCATATAATTATTGCTATAAAAAAAAAGTACAAGCAAAGAAAGTCTCATGTTTCCGGATGTCTTCCCTGAACCAAAGGCCTAAAATCGGATGTCTTTCCTTAACTAAAGGTCCAAAATAAAAAATCACGTGGCAATCACAAGTGAAAGAAGGACAACAAAAATCGCTTGGAAGGTTTTTTAGTCACTTTGCTATTAGTATTGAAAAAGACGTCACTATGTAATATTCTTATTTCTTCTTGATAAAAAATAGCGAGTATAAATTGTCTAAAACATTTTAACATTTTTTTGAGCCCCAAAATCTGATTCTTTGTCACCAATATTAATTGTACCGTATAATGTAGATAATATCATAGTTGATATAAACATTAACATAAATAAATTTAGGCGCTAGAGTTCGTTTGGTTCATAGGATATGATGGGATGACTCATCATCGGATTATTAATCTTGGGTTGAGTCATCCTTGGATTAATAATTCCCGTCATCTAGTATTTGGTTGGTTCTAGATTGAATAGCATATATTGAGAAATAATCCTATCCTGTGTTTAGTTGGAAATTGGATGAGATAAGATTACTATTTTAATGACTAAAATACCCCTTAATTTGTAGGGTCATTTTAATAAAATAAGTTAATGATTTATAACTTTATTAAAATAAAGTTATTTGAGACCTTAGAAATGTAAAGTCAATCAAGGATTTTGATATATAAAAAATTGCATTCACTCAAACTCAGCCAATTCAGGCCCTTAAAAATATGTTTTAACCTAATTTTTTAACTAACTTTGAAATTCAATTAAATAATGGGCCACATTTTGGCTAAATTATGGATAAATTGAACAAAATTCAACCCATTTAAGAGTTTTAAACATGCCAAGCTCAAGCTCATACGGAAGATTTTTCTTTGAGCGGAGCTTGGGTTCATTGAAACCCTCATTTGAAATGCTCAATTGACAAGTTTATGTATTATTTAGAATTTGGTTGAGAAAATAAGATTAGTAAGGGCAATATAATCCTTTCATCATGATGTAACTAGGGGAAATTAGTCAAAAAAATTAAATTAATTAATAGGGGTAAATTTGTCAAAAAATTTAAAATAATGAATAGGGGCAAAATAGTCAAAAAAAATTTAATATAATTAGTAGGGACAAGTTAGTCCATTTATTATCATATTATTATGCGAAAGTATAATTATATAATATTCAATATGAATTTGTATCATTCGCAAGGGCAAATTAATCCAAATATTGTTATGTTGGTAGTAGGGTTAAATTAGTCAAAAAAACTTTAAATTAATTAGTATGGGCAAATTAATCCATTCATGTTATATTATCGTTTAAGGATAGGGTTATATAATTATGAGAGTATAAATTTATATTATTTATAAGAATAAATTAGTTTAAAATTTCATCATCCTACCTCTTAGTCATCCCGCGATAACTAATACCACCTCCTCCGTGCAATTATTTTATCCCATGAATAGGGGATTAATTCGGTTAGTTGGAATGTGTCATTTCGTATTTAAAATGCTATTAGGATTTAAGAGCAAAACAAACAACTATTGATATATAAAGTACACAATAATTTAATGACAACAAGTCACCAGTATAAAAGATAAATGACATACAAAATTTAATGTAGGTCGGCCCCATCACTAAACCTACATCCACAGAAATAAAATATATTCTTTATTATAAGAGAAAAATTGTATACAAGAATACATCTTGAACCCAAGTCCAACCCTTGTATACCATCTCTCATCTCCTAAAAACCGCCTCTCATCCCATGTATAGGGTTACAGATCGCCCTTGTGTGTCCCTTGTAGTATGCCAACCCCACTTATTTATAAACTACATTATTTGGCCAACATTTTAATAATAACAGGAAATAACTGCTAATTCCTAATCTGATTTAGAATAGAAAAAACTCCTATTCCTAAACTTAAACAAATAAGAAATTCCTTAACTACTATTTTAAGTAATTAAAATCAATTAAAAAACTAGTTACTTACAAAACAAAAAATATGCCTAAAAGAAATTAACCAAATTTCCTAATAAATACAACCAAACATGCGATGATAAATGATGATTAATTTAATTTTATATCATCCCATCAACCAAAAGAAAAAATATAAGTTTACAATAAATGTTCTTGACACGTTAAAATTGGTGTCTTGCATTTAATCTCGTCTATACAATCTCAAAACGCCTCATCTCTCACCTACAATTGCACCCGGGTGAGACTGCAGAGGACTTCAATCCAACCAAAACCATGGCACAGAAATCAATACAGAACTCGAAAGGCAGATCCATTGTACTGGTTCTTTAGTACGTACTTTTTTTTTTTTTTTTTTTTTTTAGTACGTGGTACTTGCTTTGTAATCTGTCTTTTCACGTCTCCTCTTCTTCTACACCAAAACACACATTACACACACACACACCCTTTTTTAAAAAGTCTCTAGTCTATGGCCTCTTTCTTTTTTTCCATCTTCCCAATCCCAACTATATTTTTTTTTGTTTTTTGTATTTTTTGTTCTCCCCCTCTCCCTCTAGTTCTGCTAAACAGTTTTAAAAATTCGTGATCTATATATTAACTTTTATTAAAAAAATTTGGCTTTAGGATTACATATCGTTTCTTGTAGGCAGTTTCAAGTCGAGAGAGGTAGTACTTAGTTTTTTCTTTTGCTTTTTACTCCTGAATCTCACTGCTGTTATTGCTGTTTAGTGTTTCTGTATCTTTTTTTTTTTTGTTTTCCAAAAAGAAAGTTTTGTTCAGGCAAGATGTCTGGCCCTTTGGTTCAGCCAGTTCATGGCATCGTCAAGGAGGAGGTAAAGACCCACACCCTCGACTTTTTCATCCTTGATCTATTATGCACTTTTATTTCTGGCCCTTCTACTATGTGGTTTCTACTCAATCCATGGTACAATGCGTTTCATGGTACAATCCTGATCATGGACTCATTTAATAGTACAATCCTGTAGTTTGAGCAATGGCATACGGATCAGTTATCCCAGAAGCAATGTTGTACGGTATACTCAATACGTATATTGGTTTGATTTCAGTAAGAAACTTAAAGTTCTTATTTCTATCAGCCCTTTAGTATATTGCCATTTATTGATGAAAAGCCATGTTTGGATGCGATGAACATGACCTCTGTTGCCAATCGAGAGCGCTTAAATTTTCAACCTGGATCCAGCAGTCGAACGGCTGAAGTTGATGATACTGAATATTACACAATCTCTGGGACAAGGCCGTATTTTGATGTGATTCTTTCAAGAACACATGTCACTCCTCCATATCGATTGGTAATGTCTTTCTTAGCTGAATTCATATGCAGCTAGATAGTGATAGAGAATGTTTAGCAGACTATCAATTCATTCATGGCTATACAAATGGTGAATGTTGTGATGTATTGAGCTTAATTCATAGATATAAACCAAGTAATGATTTCTCGGTTTCCTCTAGACTAAGTAACTTGGTGATTGTTGTACATCTTGTAAATACTCATGGAGGCAATTTAAGTTGAAGATACTTTGATGGTATTGTATCCTGGAAAGCAGATAAAATGATCAAGAATTTGTAATTTCTTGCTTTCAGAACCTTCCCACTAGAATGGTGTCAGAGCTTCCTTCTAAGTTAGTCCCTATGGTTCTAACTTCCTGTGGCAAGACCTGGGAGACGTTTTACCATGGACGAGGCTCAACCAAAAGATTTGGCTGGAAAAGATTTGTAATTGATAATGGTCTGAGAATGGGAGATTGCTGTTTCTTTGAGCTCATGGAGTGCAGCACGACGAAAATCGTATTCAAAGTTATCATCCTCAGAGGTACCCTGCCTTTGGGTGAAGGAGCTGGAGATGGTGACACTCCGGAGACTGCAATCTTCATTGAATAGAACAATCCATTAGATTTATCACTACCTGTGATAGCTATTGGATCTTTCAACCATTTAGAGCTCCCACGTCTATTTACTGATTATCAGTTTATCACCTTATCTGGATGCTAAACATTTCATGTAACAAAATTTCTAGATCCACCCGGATGAGACCTGTGAGGTAAATTCATTTGTTTTTGTCATCTATCTACACTTGGTAAATAATCTGAGAACCATCTAACCTGACAAGTCATTTACGGCTGAATTCTGAAAGTTATGAGATGCTTTGGCTTGCTACTGCAAATGCCTTAGGTTGCCAAATATTCAGAAAAAGAATTCGCAGATGCCCTTTTCAACTAATGGTCTAAAGACCTCTGCGTCTCTTGACTTTGTCTTGGATCCTTAGAGCTTGAAGCATCTTGACATGAGAAACAACAGGGACACAGGCAATTCTGCTAAAAAAACGTTGTTCCTGAGATTGCTATGCTACATTGGCTGGCATGTTTTCTGAGATGAATACTTGTAAAGTTGTTCTGGACGTATAACAGTCTTGGCACTAAATTTTCAACCATCATTATTTTGTTAATCTACCTGGAAGAATAAGCTGTTGCAGGCTGAATTGGCTGCAATTTTCAGCTTCGCCTAAAGGGCAGGTTATCAGACATTGATTCAGAGCTAATTCTGCAGATAGTTGCCTCTCTTCTCCCCTTCAACTACTGATAGGCTATTCAAATCTTCTACTTTGTTGCTGGTTGTTGTGTATCATTAAAATCTTCATCAATTTGAGCTAATGCAAGGATCCTCATGCGAGGTTCGGACAAGAAATATTTCAAGCCATACAAATTTCAATTTGAGGAAATATCACCATCAATTGCCCCAAAAATTGCAACCAATAATAGCTTTTGAGAATTGCAGAGAATCCTCTCGTCGAGTCAGCAATGACACCAGTTGTTTTGCAACTTAAATAAAATAGGAACGTTTCATACGACAACTTAGCTACAAGTTATGGACACTTTCCAGTTCTTCGATACATTCTATTTTCTGAGACAAATCCTCCTATGTGTCAAAAGAGGATTTTTCGGACTGCCAAGTGTTACTGAAAAGCCAAGGAATAGTAGTGTGGGGCAGGGGATCCGTTGCGCGCAAGAAATTTCCAAAAAGTGCAAAATAGTAGTGTGAGAGGCTCATGTGTCTTTTTCCAACTTTTTTTATTAGAGAAATAAAAAGTTGTAACTTTTTCTTAAACCTTGTGTGCATCCAAATGAATTTTTGTAGACACCTATACGTTGATGTCCACTTATATATTTTACATGTATATGTAAACATATCAATTTGACAAATTGGCTTAAATAATTGTTGAAATCTAATCTCAAACTCAGAATTATCTCTCCGATTGATAAGCAATGTAGCACAATTTAGCAATCTAAAACCGTAGTTATTAAATCCGAACCAACTGACTGGTTGATTAGTTAATTTGGTGAACTGACCATTCAATTAGACTGGTTGATGATTTGACTAGACAAAAATACTGGGTTGGCTTTTAATAGTTTGACTGTTCAGATAGGATCCCAATCGGTTTAAGTAATTGGCTAGACTAGTGTTTTAAAAACAGGGCCGCCCAATCAGTTCGACCGATGAAACTACGAACCGGTCATGGTTCTAATTCAATTTCGTGTTTAGTCCAAAATGTCAAATCCACTAATCAAACTCAGTTAAGAATTAGTCGACCCGATAAAAACCCAACCTTTTGAACTTGCTTCTAGGAGTACCGGCGATCTGAGTAACTCGCGAGCTATTCAATCAAAGACTCGATCCAAGTTCGGCTTTGGGCTGAAATCACTTTTATACAGGCAGTCAATTCAAGTTCAAACTTGATTTTCTGGAACTCAAAAGCTTGACAAAGCTTATTTGAGTAATTAGATATTTATTTATTATATATATTATATGTTAATGAATTTACTAGTTTAGGTGTATAAGTTCAATCATTTACGACATTTCATCCGTTTCTTATAACATTAATCAGGGCTGACGTACATTTCATAAATGAAAAATTATAATTCAAAAATCCTAGAAGGGGAAAATCATGCTTCATTCTCATTCAGATTTATGCATTTCACTTAGAGTCTCAGACCCTTCTCTTCAACAATTACATCTCCATCTTCTTCTCTTCATTTCGCAAATTGTGAATCCATCTTCTTCTCTTCAAGACTTAACTCGTAATGCGCAACTCTTCCTCTTCTTCAGCTGCTCGAATTTGCAGTGGGTATTGGGCAGCTTGCGGCCAGTGACTTTAGCTTCAGTCGAAGGTAGAGCTGCAAAATCTTCCACCCTAAATGATACTGAGCTCTTATTTGATAACTTAATTCAGCACTTAAACTTAATAGATTTAGATCTTAACATATTCAGACTGTTTGATAACAAAAAATTAACATCTAAATTAATTAAGTGACATTGAATTTTCTCGGCAAAACTTGCTTCCTAAAATTAAGTGATAAACTATTTACTTATCACTGAATGTAATATGCACTCAAATGTATTAGATTTAATACTTAACAATTCAATAATTTAATGAATTCAAACTTTAGATTTTAGATTTCAGACTTTAGTTTTCGTACTTCAATTTTATCAAATGCACCCTGAGCCGCTGAGGCACTTTCACCACCTGAGCTCATACATATTGTGGTATGTTCTTATTTCTCAAGTCTACAAACCCTAAACTAATATGGATGAAATTGGAGAAATTTTTGGTACCGTAAACCCTAAATGCAAATTAGCGGTTTTCAACGTAGAGAGTATTGTGCTTCTGGGAATTGAGAGGAGTCAGGAGTGCTAAGATAACCTAAATTTTCTAGTACATTTATGGATTTTTGGAAGTTTGTTTCCTTTGTCGATTGGAATGAAATTTTTACTGTTTTTTATATTTACTTTGTTGGTGTGAATTTTCTAGAACTACATTGGATTGGAAATTATTTATAAATGGATGAAAGGCTTGAAACAAATTGATTCTGGAGCTTATGAAATTGTACAATAGCAATTGCAGAATGCAGACTACTTCTGGCAAAATTTTATTGAGTTTGAGTACCTTTGAGTCCTCGAGCTCGATTGGGCTTGGTCTAGAACTTGAGCACAATCGAGTCGAGTCTCGAGCTCTGCAAATATGTTGTCAAGTCAAGTACGAATTTGCGAATTATTACTCACTCGAACTCGAATACAGCGCTACTTGAGTTTGACTCGGTTTGAATTCACCCATATTTGCTCCCACTAAATTTTTTTTTTCAATGTTTTTCAAAATCATTAAACCAGAGTCAAGTTGATCAAACTGTCAGTTGTAAGCTCAATTGGTTTACTTGTCGATCCGAGTTTTCAGAACATTGAGTTAGACACCCCAATTCACTCTTTTTTTTTTTTTTGATAAATAGGAGGTTTTGAATACAGGACTTCCACTTACAATCCCTCCCCCCTTACCACCCGACCTACACTCCCCAACATCCCAATTCGCATGGTAGTAAACCAAAATAATATATTGCTAGAATTTATTATCAAGACACGCATTAGAATTTCACACTTTGAAATTTGTAAAAAAGATGTCATAAAAACTAAACAAAAATTAAATTCTACATTTGAAAGTTGGGTGAATTATTATTTAAACTATTTTGTTTTCATTCTCACAATAATAATATGCTATTACTTCTTTAAAAATAGTTATAATTTATTAGAACATATTCTATTATTGTCTTTTCCACATATCTCGTATTAAAAAGGGATAATTTCAGAAACCTCCCCTGAGGTTTCTGACATTTACACTTACGTCCCTTGTGGTTTGAACAATTACACTGACCTCCCCTGAGGTTACTACTCCTTTACAAATTCAGTCTAAATGATTAAAATATTATTTTAGAGAGTGAAATTAGAATTTTGTACCTGATTTGTCATTTGTGCCACATGTCCAATGAATGGCAAAGTATTACAAATTAATTAATAATTAATAAACTTTAACGAGCGTAGTTTATAGGCAAATACGTATTGTCTATTTAAAGTACCAGCTCTTTACATGAATTTTATTTTCAAATATTTACTTTATCACAAATATTTATTCTCAAATACAGATTTGTATTTACTCTCAAATATTTAATTTTTGTTAAATACAAAACCTACCAGTTTTTCTTCCGTAGAAATATTAATATAACATTTTTTCAATTTCAGTTACAAATATTTATGTATTTAACATAAATTAAATGATTCAGAATAAAATACTCATAAAGAGCTAATACTTTACTCATGGAATGGATGAAAATCATAAAAAATTAACATTTTATAAGCCATTTCTTTTTTTTTTTTAAATTTTAATTTATATTAAATAGATAACCTATCGATTTTCTTTTTACAAGAATATTATTGTAACACCTTTTAATTTTTAATTACAAATATTGATATATTTATTGTAAATTAAATATTTAAAAATAAAATACCTGTAAAGAGCCGGTACTTTAAATAAGTTATGCGTATTTGCCTATAAACTACACTCCTTACTTAAATCAATAAACTACACTCCTTAACTTAAATCAATAAACTATACTCCTTACTTTACATAGTGTAGTTTATAGGCAAATACGTATATCCTATTTAAAGTATCGGCTCTTTACAGATATTTTATTTTCAAATATTTAATTTATGATAAATATATTAACATTTGTAATTAAAAATTAAAAAGTGTTAAAGTAATATTCTTGCAAAAAAAAAATCAGTAGGTTATCTATTTAATATAAATTAAATATTTTTTAAAAAATAAATGGCCTCATAAACTGTTAATTTTTTATGATTTTCATCCATTACATGAGTAAAGTATTGGCTCTTTATAGATATTTTATCCTGAATCATTTAATTTATGTTAAATACATAAATATTTATAACTAAAATTGAAAAGGTGTTATATTAATATTTCTACGGAAGAAAAACTGGTAGGTTTTGTGTTTAACAAAAATTAAATATTTGAGCAGAAATACAAATCTGTATTTGAGAATAAATATTTGTGATAAAGTAAATGTTTGAAAATAAAATTCATGTAAAGAGCTGGTACTTTAAATAGACAATACGTATTTGTCTATAAACTACGCTCGTTAAAGTTTATTAATTGTTAATTAATTTGTAATACTTTGCCATTCATTGAGCATGTGGCACAAAGGACAAATCAGGTACAAAATTCTAATTTCA